TGGTTTACTTGCATTGCAAAAGAAGTCCTTGTTTCTTTTGCAATGAAAGTTTGTGAATTACTATAGGAGCATAAATCCAAAAAGCCCGCACAGTAACTCACAGGATAAATTATTCTATACAGTTAATTCGTGCAAGTCTTCATGCAGTTTTACTGTCAAATAAATGATTATACTAGTTATTTTGAAAAAAAAAAGTAAGAATGTTTTAACGATGAAATAATTAGACGTATTTTATACAAGCTTAAAACTCAATAAATAATATGAGAATGTTCATTTATTTCTGCAAAAAACTAACTTGAGAAAGTTTGCGCGTCAGATCGTTTGTTAGGAATTCCTCCTCCTGTTCATACTTCAAAGCCAAAGCCTCCTTGTCATTCTTCAATTTCTGAATGCGCTTCAGCAACATGTTAGATATAAATTCTTCCTCCTGTTCAGCTTTTGCGTGCTAGAAATATCAAAATCCGACAAATTCTAAACAAGGCTATTTGTGTATAGCACGATCAAAAACTGCGAAACAAATAGATGAGTGAAAAAACAAATGCAATGCAAACCAAGCGAACGCTTTTCTCCCTAATGGTTTTATTCAACTGCTGCAGCGATTCGTTACGAGCACGCAGACTCGAAATCTCTCCCTAAAACGATTGTTAAAATGACGCTGAAATAAAAATCAAAATGTTTTCCTTGATGAAGAAGATTACTTGACTTCAATTAGAAACCGAACCTATACAGTGATCGGTATGAGCTATTTCATAACCAAGAATTGCAGGGATGTTCCGGCAAATTATCGTAGGAATATTACTTATTCTTTTAATTGTTCTTTGATTTTTTCAACCCCCCCCCCCACAACCTGTTGTAAATTTATTAACTTTACCTCAATGCGAGTTTTTTCTTTCAGAAGGAAGATCGCTTTCCTCAATACATCATCATATTTCACAGAAGAACGAGGAATACGTTCTTCATAAAGAGAGATCAATTCCTGATCAGAGATCACACCAGCTGTCACAAGTTCCTGAAATGAATGATATTTAGTATTTCGTGAAAGGTATGACTTCGGATAAAAATTCCAGGCTCCATAAAAAATACAAAATTTCACAACTAAGAAAATTCGGTTTAAGAAATATAAGTTACCTACCACTGAAGAAGGCTGCGGCGAAAGCTTTGCGGTTACTTTAGCAAGTTCAAAATCTTCACGACCAGCTGAAAGATCTTAAATTTTCAAGCAATAAAATCCAAGATATTGTAAACCATTTCAAAATTATTAGGAGCTTCATTTGTTTACAACAGCAGCAGAAAACGAACTTGGTTTATATGCAATTGGCATATGCCATAATCACCTCGTCGCTGAGTAAGCCAAAGTAAACAAAAGATACCTTTTGGACAACGAGTATGCTTGTCACGCGAACTATCTGAACCAAGAGATTCACGCTCCGCACATGTAGCAGACTGCAGTTCGAATGACTGACCGTTTGTTAGACCCGTGCTGTCAGACATCTAAACAAAACTGTGGATCATATGATAGCAAAGTAACCCACGAAATTTATATTAAATGAAGAGTTGAAGTAGTTAAGTACAAATACACTGAAAAATGTATCTGTTCAACAAATAAAAGAAATGATAGATAGTGACTTAACGGATACTGAAAAGTCAGATTAACAAAAATGTTTATGCACTAGGGAGTGGTTACATTCAGAAGACAAGAGATTGTTTTAAACACATTCCACAGCGGATGATTTCGTCACATGCTTATCAGATGAATTTTGAATTAGTAAGCAGATAGAAACCATATTTTATTAAACAAAATGATCTCTTTTTTCAGAAAAGTCTCGCAAATGTTAAAAACAATTAAAATGTCCCGACCATGTAATCTATAAAACTGTAAAATCTCCCCGGAATTTTTTTCACACATCCTTTGTCAAAACTCTGGTTGGTTTATAACAGTGACTTTTCAGATGTTTACTTCGGACCACTTAAACTAATTTAGTACTCATTACAAGTGAACCAAACTCCGGAAAAAAAAACTTGGACCCTGAAAAATCTTATTATGAAAGTCAAAAAACGCTGCCCAGTTCTGGCAGTAAGGATTTTAGTGATTAATTAAACAATGATAACTTTTAATAGAAACATACTTTAAATCAACCTTACAACAGCACTTTTTCAAGAGCTTTTTGTAACAATATAATTGAACCACTTAAATTGAAAAGTTAATTCTTGAAAGTTCTCCAATAAGAATTTTTATATCGGACAAGAATTTCTTACAAAAATTTCAAAGTCAACTTTTGTATGAAACATTCAGAATTAGCAATTCCCCGATATTCCCGATATTATTAAAACACAGATTTCGACCAATAACCCACGCGACCTGAATTGCATAACTGAGACACAGAGCAAATGAAGACGCAACCGCTCAAGAAACTCACCTAAAAATAATGAACAGCTCACCAAAGAAAATACTAATTTAATGCAGCATGTCGACTAAAAAAATTTGCATACTGTTTCATTGGCTAAAGCAGTGACTAATTTCTGGTGACTTTCTGAGATGAACTGTAAAAACATCGAATTTTGCTTGAAATAGCAAGAGAAGCAGGGCCATGGTATTCCTCATGATACTGCTGGTAACTAATCTCAAAACTTACTCTCGATGTCTCCAGCTAGTCCATACAAAGTATACGTAACGTAACACTCGAAAACTCGGCCGCGGTCAACAATTCACCACTCAACCTCCTCAAAAATCGTCCACCAACGATAAGATGAAGTTTCCGCTATTGGATGCTTCGTCCACACGTCCCCCAACACGAACCGACTTGAAGAGAGTTGAGGGGTGTGAGGAGGGCCTCCTAAAGTTATGATCTCTCGTCTGTTAATATGAGAGATAAGAGCAAAGTTTGTTATAGTTTTGATTGTTACGTTAGAAATTATTCTGAAATTTTGTTTCTATGATTGGAATCTTTGAATATTTTAATAGCAAGGAGAGACGATCTGATTTATCCAATAGTGAGACAAATGAAGAAGCGAAGAAAATTTACAGTATTTTCCAAAAAATCAATATTTTAGGAATTGTCATTTTTTCAGGAGTGCTCAAAGCATTGCCACGTACCTTAGTAATTTATGATTTGTAATCAGAAAAAGTTTTCCGGATTTTCAATGGGAGTGTCATAGAAATGAAGGAAAGATATTCGAAATGTTGCTAGAAAACCAACATCTATTTTTGATCCGAAGCATACAGCTTAATTTTGAGGAAATGTTAAACTTTTGCGTTTTGTGGCTGTGCTTAGTCTACATACAAAAAATGAAGCTGACTGAAATTAAAGTTAGTAAGTCTGTCGCACCTTGGCTCTTACCCAGCTGGAGAAATTTCGTTTTGTGTCAAAAAAAATTATCTGCTCAGGAAATCGCAGATTGGTAGACGAATTCTATTAGCTGCGATGCCAATTATTTGAGCGGATTAAATTTTTTTTTGGAGGGCTCAGATCTTTCTCCTGATTATCTTTTGTTCCTCTACACCCAAAACAAATCTACAAAATTGAAGAGTATTGCTTGATCGATTCCATTTTGTAAGTGAGCAAAAAATACTATAATTTTGTACAGGCGTATAGCGTTTCGATGCGTTTTGCGTATTCGAAGTGAAATTTTCATGACTAACCAATATTTTGCACATCGCAGAATTGTATTCAAAAAATGCTAAAAAATGAACACAAGAAATGCTGGAATAAAAAATGTCTTGTTCTGTCTGTTTCAAAACATCTTCACTGCACACCGAATCATTCTTAACTATAGGCATTCATTTCACCTTCGTTACTTCTCACACCTCCCATTTTTCTAAATCCTTTCTAGATTGAATTCGCCATTCTATTAGTAAAATATGAATATCAAACATGCTTTAGCAAATTCAATAGTTTAAATTTCCAAAATCTGTCTTCATTTTCAAGAATTACGAGACTAAAGGTTTTTGTAAGATTGTTGTTCATCGACGAAGAAACTTTCCAAATTCATTCTGATCTATTAATGAGAAAAATCATATTACCTCACTTGATTAGATAGATATGAAATAAATTCGGATCCTATTATCTTTAAAACTTATGTCTCGAATTGACTATTTATGATTTATTTCATCTTAAAATATCTTTTTTTTCTAGACCTGACACACCAATTAAGTGTAATGTATTTTATTTCGCCATACAGGTCAAGTCAAGTTACAATATATTTTTGGGCCGATGCAAAAAATTCGTAACAAAGATTTTGGCCGTAAAAATCAGATGTTGCCAGAAAAGCTGATGGAGACCAAATGAGAGAGAAGTTAAAAATATTGTCCACAAAGATAGAAGTGAAAGGATGATATATTTATATATTTACTTTGATGAATGTTGAGAAAGCAATTATTAGCATGGAAAAAGAGAAAAAGAAAGAGATGGTAATACCAAAAATAGGCAAACATAAGAGAAGAGAGAAGAGCCATTGGGTATCCTTTGAAAATCGGGAAAGTAACAAAAGCATTCCTCTCGAATTCTTTCTTTAATGAAATATGCCTGTGAATTGAAAGTGCTATCATGAGTTTTGAATCGAATTCTTGCAGCAAAGTAAGCAAAGATTCTTGCTATGTACTGCCTCATTGCTCGTTTCATCATTTTTCTCCTTCAAATTTGCACATTGGTCAGGAAATGCACATCTTGGGTACAACCACAAATTGGCATCTATCCCGGCTTTCTAGACATCTATAGCGCTAGCAAAAATTTTGGTTGGTTGCATAATTTTTATTGAAATTCATTTGCATAATTTTAGCCAATCATTAATTCATAAAATAGGAATTCTAATGAAAAAAGCATGAAACAAATGATATGTTGCAATCTATATCGGACATAGCGCAAAAAATACCTTGTTTTCTTATTTTAATTAATTACCAGTAAGAAGAATGTTGCTGTTCAGAGATAGTTATTAATACCTACTAAAACAACAAAGAAATTCTTAACTTCCTATGACCATGGATTTTAGATGAAACTCAAATTATGGTTCAGTTTATAAATGGGACTCATAAATCAAAAGGTTTTGGCTGTACCGATGAGCTCAGAATGGAAGTATTATTCCTTTTCAAAAAGCTTTTTTTATTGAAGATTTGTTTTTCAAATGTACTTGATTAAAATTTTTGAATGGAAATCAATAGTTTGGAAATCACTTCACTAAATATACATGTCTCATGGATTGAAAGCCTTCAGACTTGAATATTTTAATTCTATAAGTGGTTATTGTCCTCTACATTGTTCAACGAGTAATTCATGCTATCGGGAAATATATTAATTGTTGAACGTGATTACTGGTCAGTTAGCTAATGAAGCGTCTTTTTGATAGTTTTATGTTTATTATCAAAAAAATCATAAAAGTTTTGTTTATCTGTTAAATTTTATTTTACTTGTAGCTAATAACGGCGACTTAGTTATTGGACAACCGTATACATTTGGTATTCATATGGAAAATACTGATCGATACGATTACTTGTTGCAGTCTTGTACTTATAATGATAAATACCGTTTTGTCGATCAGAATAGGTAATCAATCATATGTTTGAATTTGAACTTCTATTCTGGATTTTCTTTTCAAATTCTGTAATCTTCTCAGCAATCTAGTTATATTTAATAACATTTTCTTTGAAAGAATGAATCTTTTTAAAATTTTTAATAAATTAGATTTGTTGTAAGTTATGCTATAACGTAGCTCAATCATTTTAGTCTTTTCTTAGATAATTAAAATTTTCCGCATTATAGCTGCCTGGTTTACGACAAATTCTTCTTGAAGATGTGGGAAAATGACATGTACCAATTGCAAGGCGCAACAAAACGCACATTTATCCATTTTGTGCCACCAGAGCCGCTTACTCGTCTCGAATGCAGTGTGCGCATACTGTACTGTTGCGGATGCGCTGAAGTAAGTGTTTCAATTTTCGACTAAAACTTAAATCAAGTCTCAAAATGCAATGGTCATTATAACCATTGCAGGTTTAATGCATCAATCCTAGACAACAGCAAATTGTGAATCGTTTTTCGTAAAACATATTCGAATGGTTTTCATTCGTAATGACGCAATTGTACTGTTTTTTTTTTTTGCGATTTTAGTTTTTCGACTTCTTTGTCTGCCATTTTTGATAAGAAAGGAATTTCTCAAGTTTCAGATATTGTGTGAGACAATTTATAAGAACTATCGAAAAATCAAAAAATTTAGTAACTCTCTTCTTATACAATTTTTTACTTAAGACAAAAGATTGATAAGTTACTTACAATTAAAACTGAAGCGAAAAATCCTTGAGAATTGTAATATAAATTGGGACCTAGACAATAAAATTTTTGGATGGTCTGCTAAAATTCATAAGTCGGTATAATGGCATCTCATAATTATACAAATGTCTTTTGGAACGTAATCTCATCAACTTCAAACGAACGTACAAGTAATTTATTGATCTGTTGGATGTTTGAAATTCTATTAACCCAAGAAATTTTTAATATTTTTTCTTTTTTTTTCATGTTAAAAAGTTTTAATTTGTTTTTAGAGAGCCTGTGAAAGAAGGATTTTGCCGACTTTGATCATTTATCCACAGCAGGTGATCAATGTAGCAATCATTAATGATCAAGCAGTAGGAATCTTGGCCACTTCAGTAGGCAGTTGGCCGTGGTGGATTTGGCTTCTCATTGCTTTGGGACTCATCCTACTTCTTTGCTTATTACCATTACTCTTGTTATTATATTCTCAACTATGCATGCACAAAAGAAAGGTATCAGATTCCAAAGCTATAGTTCCACAACCGCTTCCAGCTAAAGCTTCAAATATTCTTGTTCGAGCAAAAGAAATGGAAGAAAATGGCGCTTCAGAAAGGCCATCGGTGTTACCACAACCATCTCCACCACAACCACCACCACCTCCACCATTACCTACTCGTATATTCGGTATCTCATCTGATTCACCATCTGAAAGCATTCGTTCAACTGCCAGTCAGTCTCATATTGCGGTCATCAGACAACAACAGCCTCGCATGTCCTGGGCAGATCGCAGTATCCGAAGTGAGATAGAGCCAAGACCGACGTTAGAGCGACATATAGCAACACATAATTTGGAAAGCGTCACTGAGAAACGTGTAGATTTGGGCAAATGTGAAGAAGCCATAGGATTAGGAAGCAAATTCCCGTCCAGTCGAGATGAATACTACATCCGTCAGATAGATCCCAAAAAAACGGTACATCAACAAACTACCTGTGAAGAAAAATTTTTTAAAAAAAGAGATCGTCAAAATAGAATGGTTGAAGAAGGTTATGACCGTGCTCAGCTAACATATACTACACCTGAGAGACATTTCGCCCATTCCGAAATTGTTTAACCTCGAAAATTTCAGAAACTATTATTTATGATACATATCCAACATATGATATCTGGGAATCTTTAGTTTTTTTTTTTTTTTGTTATGGGAGGAAAGGATGGAAGGATATGAGTGATGGACAAAATTATGTTTGAACTAATAACACTAACCGAATTATTTTCCATATTGGATAACAGAATTAATTGTTTAATTCATAGCATTTAAAGTTATTACATCTGAACATAATACCATTTGTTCATTCGTTCAATAGTAATATTACATTGTTCTCAAACAGCATTTATTCTTTTTAAACTTCTAAGCACTGCCAATTTTGCTATTGCCATATTTAATTTGCACTCAAATATGCTTGAATGTTGCGATGTAACTGAACTGAAAAAAATAATTTTAACGAATATCTTCCTCATACTTTACTTAAGTACAAAATGTTCTGGCAGTTCATCGACATGACGACATACAATTTTAATACAATTTTGAAACTTTTTGATCTAAATTTCTAGACCACTGTTGGATCAGTTGAACATAGTTTTTTTTTTCTAAAGCTTTTCAGCCTGTTCTTAAGTAATGATTACTTGAATCTATTTTAAGCAGATTTAAAGTTATTAGTTATTTGATTCCAAATGCTTCATTACTGCCCATTATTCACTTTCCAAGTTGGCTTTCCTAGCTTGCTCGACTTAGTATACTTTTAATTTAGTCAGCCGTATCGCCTATGTAATATGAAGATCTTCAGTGCGATAAGGCCCAAAATTTTGTTGGGAGTGTGCAAAATCATTCCAATCTTTTTAGACATTTTATAAGTGTTGACTGAAAATTAAGAAGAAATAAAGTCGAGGTGCCGAAAACTTCAAAGATTTTAGTTTTCAAAATTAAAATCTTTGAAATCAGAAACAAAACAAAAATGGTTCATTTAAATCTATGAAAACTCGTTAATGTACTAAAATATAATAGGAAAATAACGATGGCGATTGGTGAAATTAATGACTAGAGAAGCTCGAAAAAGGGCAATAACCTTTGTCCCATCTGCTCATTCTCTCATTCACCTTATCATAATGTCAGTTCTGCTGAGCAGTTTGTTAAAATTTGATAAACAATCGTTTCTCATTAATAGCAATGGATTCGTGCTAATGCCCTAATTTTCATAACATGTGTCTTTTCACTATACATGTCCCAATGGATTATTTTTGTTTATTTTCACAAATTTTTGGAACTGAATCAAAGATTAGTCATCAAAGGCCAGACAATATGATCCTTAAAACAGGAAAAAAAGACTGGCAAAAAACTCCCCCAAGTAGTTTGATGAACTCGATAAATAAAATCTCAACCTGAAATTTAAGCCTGAAAGCATGTGAATATTTTAAAGCTGGAAAAAAAAGTTCAAAATATCTAGACTTTCGATTATTTGGATTATTGTTTACAAGAGTGCATTTCTTTCAACTCTGCTTCGCAATACTTTGCATTGCGGCAGAAAAGTTTTATGATAAAAATCGTTTCTGTAATTTCAGTAATCCATCAAAGTAACTAACACTTCTGAAGAAGAATGAACAATCGACGGCGACTATCAATGTTCATTTCTCTGATTATTTTCATAGCAGCCTTATCATTGGTTTTTGCAGCACTTCTTACTGATTATTGGTCCGAAAGTAGGCCTATCAATAAGAAATTTAACTCTGTGAATAATTATGTGAATTTGGGTCTCTTTAAAGGCAGTCGACAGCTGGATTGGGGACTGGGTCCACGTTACAAAACTTTTTTAGGTAACTTCTTAATATCGGTCAGTTTCTAAAGGGCAGGAATCATGGCTATGAAAATTTTGCTAAATTTTTACTTTTAAGAATCTTTCTTTTCAGTATACGAGGAATTACGCGATCGAGTAGGTTTCATTTCTAAAGTCCCATGGGTATTTATTCTTTTTTTCTTAGCAATTGGAATTTTATGGAATGCAGTGGGTGCAATTGTCGCACTTTTGAACACTGTCGCTAGAGAAACCAATACAGTTGCTGGACCGAAAGGGATTTATCTGTGGAGCATTCTTGCTGGTGCATTAATAATTTCTAATATTAATAAATTTATTTTTAGTTTATTGCATCCAACGCTACCGAAACTCTTTCAAATTTATAATTATAGAAATTTAAAAACGTTAAAAAATTTTTACAAGGTCTCTTGAGCTTCCAATGTGATGCTTCCGTTTAGTTATTTATGGCCATAATGAAAGCTGTGAAGCTTCTTTGTTTCAGACTACTTGCTTATAATTTTAGTTTATCATTCTCTCCAACTTCACGCTTATTTTGGGAAAGCCGGAATTTTTTCTCTTTCAAATTCATTGTCTTGTACTTGAATAGATGCAGAATTCGGTTTCCCTGATAGGAGAAGTGTGAATTTCATCCCGATAGCTCTCATTTCAATTACAGTCCATCTCGGTGATTCCTCTGATTCCTCAATCATTTCTATCATTCTGAATTTGCAGCGATATCATATGCGTTAGCATTGATAACTTTCCTAGTACAATATGTGACAACGATTCAAAGCAATGTTTTACTAAGCGAACACACTAATAATGGATTTTCAACGGAGAATCGTACAAGGTCACTATTTGCTTAAATTCTAAACACTTTTCTCTTCCTTTATTGTCACTTTCTATTAATCTCACATATATTCACTCTTGTTTTTCCGAATGTCCATGCAATACTAGTTCAGAGTTCAACTAATCAGATAATAAGTTTCATTTATCTATTGTGTTTTGTTTCCAGGCTCAGTTTTTCATTCTACTTTGTAACAACTGCATTAGTACTTTTGCTGATCCCATGTTTATTGGTTTACGGAACTTCATCAAGCAAACGGGGCAGTGAAGGAGAGAAGCAGTTACATGTGGATCATACTGTCTTTATGTACTAATGTATTTTATTTTTTGTGTTTAATGAAGATAAAAGTTTGTTCCATTGAGCATTCTTTATCTTTTCGAGTTAAAATTGCGATAATTTTTGTCATAACTCCTGCATTATACGATCTCTGCTCCAGATTGAGAAAAAAGAAAGAGGATAAAACAAAACTGCAAATCAGTTGAAGTCTTCATTTCCGGAAGGTTGGTTGCAAGCTTTCTCTCAATCTGAAAATAACCGAAAATGGAATAAAAGCCGCTTGCTGCTTGTTAGCAAGTCTTTGTAGCGTTGTCAAAAACCGAAGACAGTCAATGTGATGGGTTTGGGAACTGGCAAGAAGGTGAATACGAAATTTAATTTTTCTTTCATGATTTGATCATTTTGTTAGCAATTTCAGATGCATTAAAAGACAAACTGTGATATACAAACAAAATGAAATTCTTTGCAAAATGAAAATTTTCGGAACTCTTCTTTTTGATTTCTAACATCGAAGACAGCATTCACTGTTGACGAATCATGTGGATTAAGCTATTATTAAATGACTGTAGTGAATTAAATTTCATTCTACAATCGAAGCGATTAGTTACACTGCCTTACAATTTTATCTTAAGATCTTCCAATCTTCCTTATAATATCCAACAGTTCCTTGGCGTTTATTGCTTACAGCGTTGAACGTTTGAGATGATATTTGATTCGCCAAATGCCAATCAAATATCATCTACAACAATACATGGCACTGCACTATATTGACACCATAACATGGTTGTTCGTTAACATGAACTTCTATTGTCCACTATCACCACTTCAATTACTTGTTTTTGATGTTTGCAACTATCTCTTCATAATTATCAACCATATAGTTCATATGAAAGTGTAATAGATTGGTGAATTCAACACTGTGCTTCCATGAAATTTACTCTAGCTCAAATTCGGACAACTATCGCTCTACAACAATGAAACGTTAGAGAATCCAAACCGAAGAAGCCCTTTCTAATTGTCTTTAATTTAATTATTCCTCTGATTTTAACAAATCATCAAAGTTGACTTTCAATGTAATTTTATGGTTTTCTGAACTAATTTACCACTATTGGTCTTTTGCTATACCTGTTAAAAAGTTTAGAGAACGAGCTTGTCGCACAACCCTCTTTTCAATTTACTTCCCAAGTGACTTGAGATCGAAACACTTTTATCAGTGACCAACAGCTGCAACAGAACACGACGAGACCTATAGGGATCCCTTGCGTATCAGTAGCGATCGGCATACACTTTCCGTCTATTATCTTCGAGTTTGTTTAATTATGGTTCTGATTAATATTCTGCTTCCTAATTGTGAGTCAAATTTGCAAGTCCTTCTCCTCTCTACCTTCCACCAAGCACTTTTTAAGTATTCTTAGAGTTTCATATAATGCATACCGCGAGATAGGGGTCCTTGCTTCCAGGTTTTCTTTCTCCACTTTCCTTTCATTGGCTCCTAGCTGGAGAAAGAACAATTTATAAGCGTACATTAGAACCGTGTTAATTAAATCTGGTAAAATTACACCATTGGAACATAGCATGACAACGGACAAGAATTTCAAAAAAAGATTAGGGAGTGGGGAGCTAAAATAATGAATCTCAAAGACTTGAACAATCAAATCTCGAAAGCTAAAATATGAAACTTTTAACAAGTTTGAATCGATCTTTTAACGCATCGTAATGTCGGTAATCAGGGTTTTTTGGCGATAAAATGTCTGCTGAAAAGACTGTTGATGTTGTTATGGCAAAGTGATTGAAAGTGTCCGAAGATTACTATGCTGGCAAAGAAAATTGGTTAGTTCATTAGAAGCATTAAAAGTTGTGAAATTTTTGAATGCTTCACTAGAAATTTTGGAATTTTACATTTTGAATGTTCTACTTAAAATTTTTAAATTCTCATTTTTGAAATTAAAGCGTATTGGAATAATTTTTATCGGAAGGCGCTTACGGAATGGGGCAGATTTAAACATTTACAAAGGAATCAAACTTCTTTTTATTGATACATTTTCAGCGCGATGTAACTTTTTATGGAATGGTCCTCCCCCTCTAACTTATCCTTTTCTTCCATTACATATTGGTGAAAAAGTAACTGTTGCGTGCAGTTGCGATGGTGAGCGCTTTTTTAATTTTACGTTTTCTCAAATGAGTTACTACAGCATTAAATGAAATTTGTTGCCGCTTTGATTTAAAAGAAATTAAAACTACGAGAAATGAGATCAGAATAGCTAGGAAAATTGATCAGTAGTGTTGGTCTCATTTTTCTTACTACTGACTTCTTGCTATATACATCTGAAATTTATTTTAATTTTTCTGTTACCCTAAGGTGCAGTAGTAATAGTAGTAACATAATGATCGTACTTATAGTAATGATATTTAACAAATGGGAAGTTCATCTAGCGATCATTTTCCATTAATGTGTCTTTGATTTAAAGAAATAAATTAAAAATTCAAGTAGTCAAATTTATAATTATTTAGAAAATATTTTTTACGTAAAAAAGGGGTAAAAATTTTCTGCTTCAGTATATTCTCTCTTGTTCATATTACGTAATGAATTTATAGACTGGTCGTATGGTAGCAGTCTGGACAACGAGAACAGATTTGGAATATTTCCGAATAACGCAGTAATATCATTTAATGAATCGGTACCAACTATATCGAATGAAGCAATTGAGATCGTTGAAGAGCTCACCGATATTCTCAAGGAATGGTGGCATACAATTAAGGTGTAATCCATTTCCGTAACTTATGATGTATGTGTCATTCCTGATTGGCTGCAACAGTCGTTTGAATACTATGCAATTTTAAGTGCTGAAAGAATATTTAGCGGAACCAATTTAAGAACGGAACCATTCAAGTTCTAAAAACCTAACTTATTTCGTTTCAAGTTTTCACGACTGTATGAAACTTATGCTACATGTTTGAGATTTGTGAAATGTTCGCAAATTTCAGAACACTTATTATCATCAGGCAAGGATGGAGTGTCAGGATGAAGTGCTAGTGTACATGGAAGATATAATGATAATGCGCAAGAAAATACTTTCGGGTAATGTTCCCATTGAAGAACTACGGGAAATGAGATCAGAATTAGCTAGGAAAATCGATCTAGGCAATCAGTAAGTTATTTTTTTTGTAATGCTGGTTTCCACTATGCATTTTAATTTGTTGGTCGATGACCATGTTTTTTCTCGATCTTTTTTTACTTTTTTACAACTGTTTCAGTATGGTCTGCCCCCAAATCATTCAATTTTTTTAAATTAAGGCAACATACTTTTTCAATTGCAGGTGGTTGGGTCTTGATATGCTTATCAGAGATGATATGGGCAGGAAAATAGATAGCGACACGACGTCAGTGGTGCAAGTATATCGCGCTCATGTAGACGCTGCCAGTAGGATTCTGAACGATTCTGTAATTCACTTGAATTAAAAAAAACTTATCACGCTATGTGATTTTTTTTCAGATTTAATTTCGGAAATATTTTTAAAAGTTTCAATTGTTAATTGATGGAAGCAACTAAATCCTAGCTTCTATTTTTATGGTTCAGAAACCCAATGACACATCTGGCGTAACTTCTTTTTCTCTACTGGTTCATGCTCTTTCCGCTACGGTTGACTCGAAAGCTGAGTGCGAATTCACATTATCTTTATATGATACCTCCGAAAAGAAGTTTATATCGTATGTTACACAAGTTTTTATTTCCTATTCACTTTCTGAAGAAAAATCTATGTAAATAATTCATTATGCTTTCATAAATTCATTCAATAATTGCAGCGAAAACTTCGTATTTTACTGGAGTTTCTCCACGGGTAATTTGACAAATAGCAATAGCAAAGTTCTGTTCAATGTAAGTTTCATATTTTTAGATTTTAATTTTTTTGTTAATGTTTTATGATTGTCTAATAAAAAGATCATGTAAAATTTAGGTATAATTTCTTGTGTTAGATTTCATAAATAGCTCCATAATATCATATCTAATAGGGATGGGACGAAAAATTTATTCTATTCCGTTTTTTGATGTTCTTTTATATGCAAATAATATCTTAGATTTTTAATTATAGGATCTCGGTCCAAAAGAATATCCTTCATCTTCGTTATCGGTAGAAACTCATCGCCTTTTGCTATGTATTAGAGTTGCACGAATTGCTCCAATTGAACAGACTTCCTCAACTTTGAAGAAACATGTTGACCCCGGTCCACCTCAGCTTTGGCCCAGACAACCATATGCTGCTGCGGTACTGGATCTGTCAAATGTTATAGGCGACCCACATGGTGCTACTGAACATATTATTTCTTTAAATCGGTAGTATTTTCCGCTAAGCAAAATTCATGCTTTACTGTTGCAGTAGGTCTGATACTATATTAAAATTAATGTATCTATATATTTTTATGATCCATTAGATTTGTTTTCGATGTTTATAGTATTTCAAAATATTTTACAGTGATGATAGCTTGGAACAGCTGATAGCTCGAGCAAGCTCCGCAAGGACAAATAATTCTTTAAAAGCAGTGAACGGAGAACTGTCTGGTAAAGACATATTTTTAATTGGTTTTTTGAATGCAAATTCGGATTTAAATTAAAAATTGAATGGAACCACTTGGATTTCATAAATTAACTTGCACAATATCAATTATTTTCCTGTTGTTTCATAGAATTTCAGCGTTTGGACGAGCTCAGCTGATGATCTCAACGAAAGTTCTTATTGGTTCATTAATTCAAATAAAAAAGATGCATCCTCAGATATTTTCAAGCAATTCACCATTCGAATTGAGAAGATTGTCGTTTGCAGATGTTATTTCGGCAGGTGTTTAGTTTCGTCACATCTATTTTTCGGTTTAATATTGTAATCCTGGATTTTTCTAACACTTTAATTTCTGGGTAATCTAAATTTAAATGCTGTACTTTACAAACTGAATTATAATTATGAAGTATTTAAACATAGAAACATTGAATAAATTACAGATGACATTCGGAATGATTTATATGTTACATTGCTACATGGTGATTTACATGGTGGCAAAGGGTCGGACAAAAATATTGAAGTACGAATAACAGTCGTTGATACGAACGGAATAGTTGAAAATGTAATTTTCAAACAATGATGACTTCATGATGACTTTGCTTGAAACATATAATGAATGGAATTTATTGAAATCTTTTTTCATCATAAGGTGTAATTTGCATGGTTATATGTAGTATCTAAAATTCATTGTTGTTTAGAGTATCGTTGTGATCACTGCAGACGGAATACGTTGGACTACAACATACCAAAGTCTGGTTTTTTATCATGATGATAGACCGAAGTGGAACGAATCTATCAAAGTACGTTGACGTTACAATCTTGTAATATTTGCTTAAAACATTATGAAACCAATTTTGATTTTGAAGAGAAGTTTTTATGTGTATATGATACTTCCGCATGCATATTTGTCATTTATGTTCGTCGTAGGTACAAATACCGGAAAACATCGATCAGAATATTCATCTTCGAATAACTTTTCATCATAAAAAGGCTTTTGATAAAACAAAACAAGAAAAAGGACCTTTTGCATTATCATTTGCGCGCATTATGGAAGGTGCAACTTTGATCAGAGATGGTTTACATGAATTATTAGTTTATAAGGTTATTTTTTGAATTACAGTTGGCGTTATTTTATTATGAACAAAACTTTTATTAATATTTTCGTGCACTTTACTTTCAATGAAATTTATTTCGACTTCATTTTTTAAAAAATTTAGATTGAAACCGGGCGTTTTGACGATAATGATACTAGTTATACGCGATTGCCTGCCACACGAGAGGAACTCAAGGCTTCTCAGGCTCAGTTAAAGCCTCAGACGACAACCTTTATTTACGGAGAAAAAAATTTTCTAACAATTGAAACAGTAACTTGCTCGACAACACTGACTCATAACAGGAG